CATGCGCTGGGCTCGCTTCTATCGAGTGAGGAAAGGCAGGCAATCTGCTGCTAATCCAACATAAATACCCCTGGAGTCAGTCTGGAGCGTGGCATCGAAATCATTTACAAAACGTGAAATTTGAATAGAACTTAAAACCTCATAACCTGTCAGCTCCCAGCCAGGGAAAATACTCACAGAGTGCCTGCAACTGGAATCTCAGTGCCTGGAAGATTGCTTTTATTTGTCTGAAGCAGTTAGCAGAGAGAGCAAGGGTGCAAACTGGACAACCCTGGCATTATGGAGGTGGCTTTGCTCAGCTCCTAACTCTAACACAGCCTGTCCAAGGGCTGCTTCAAGGCCCTGCGTGGATTAAATAGGAAGAATTCACTGCAGATTCCACATGCGAAGGGCTGATCCAGCACTGCACTGTGCCCTTCTGAGCCAGCTAGCATGGTGGTAAACACGGGAGTAGTGAAAAGTAGCAGGATCAGGACAATCCAGCAATCTTTTGTCAATATAGCTTACAGGACAAAATTTATAGTGGCCATGCCAGCAGAAACACGCCTGAAAGGCAGTTCTGGAGTTAAGCCCTGAACTAGACCAAATACCTATACTCGCTAGCAGTTTTGCCAGATTTTCCACCAGCCTCCGTGGGCTCTCCGTCAAGCTCATAAACCGCAGTTATCAGCACATTTTGTGAGGGCACCCAACATAGAAGGAGCTAAAAAAACTGCTAGCGACACTACCTAGCCTAGACCTTTAAGACAAGGGCAGGGGCACGTTCCAGAAGCAGGAGGCGATGATATTTACCATCTTGCTAAGCAAATAACTTTAGCCTGAAGCTGGAAACTTACAGCTGGACTCTGTTTAGAATAAGGAATTATGAGTGAAGATAATCACTTTAATAGACATTGAAATTAGTAGTCAATGCTCATCCTAGGATGGTTTGGTTTATTGTTCCTGAAATATAAGCTGAACAACAAAGCAGTCTGTTTACATCGCAGCCCGTGTAAGAGGGAAGCGTAGCAACCAGAGCAATGCAGTATACAACAATGAAAATATTGAGCTCAGAGAGTCATATGGGACTGGAGCATCAAATTCAGAGTCAGTATCCTAGAAGCAAGAAGCTCTCAGGTTAGGAAAAATTCCTGTGAGAGATCTCAAAACCCTGGATAGTGAACACATCTCTCTCATTTGAGAGAGATCTGCATAGAGCATTAAACCTAACAAAACCACGCTGATTTGCATTAGTTTTGTCTGACTCTGAACTGCATACGCAGCAAAAAGCTTGATGTAGATTGTTGCAAAGATTGAGTGAGGCCCTTGCAGAGGAAGGGGCTGGGAGGAAGATGAGTGAGCAAGGGCACAGTGAGGACAGCAAAGTTTTAGTAAGTATTAACTCATCAATGTGGGGTGTCACAATAACATTTTTGCAAGTGTTCCCGAGCTAGTATACAGTACCTGGACAAAGTTATGACTGCAAGTACAAGTTAGTAATGTTTGAAACTTTTTGAAGGTGATTCTGTGGCAAATGTTTCTGTGAAGAACTCAAAGATGAGGGTAAAAAAGAAACTTGTTCCGGTAAGAAGAGATGTACTTTTCCTCACCTCCAGTTTCCCTGAAACCCTAAACAACTTAGAAATTTTAAAGAAAAAAAATGCAGCAACTGTTTGTGTTTCCTATTCTGCTAGGATCTCAGTAGTGAGGTGCCATCATATCCTCCTGCCTCAGCTCGTACAGACAGTGCATCGAGCATGCCGGAAGGGCCCAGAAAAAAAACCCCAGCCATTTAGTTTGTGCTTCTTTTAGACTTCTCCCCTTGCATGCCACAAATAGCCATTGCCGCTGGGTGGGATTAACACACTTGGCCATTAAACCATAAGCTCAAGCACATGGGTTTTATTTTGTTATAAACAACTTCTTCATACTGAACTCAGTCCTCCTGAGTTCTTAAATTTTCTTGGACTATAAATTTTATGACTACAGAGGAGCATTGAAACTTTGCTTCGCACGCCATTAATCTCCTCACTCTCCAAACAGCACGGAAGCCTTGCAGAGCATTTGTCTCAGCCGCAGCCCAGCCAGGAGGCTCGTGTCCATATTAGTCATGAGTTTTGTACATGCGCCTCAACACTGGAGGCCCAGGCCCAGCTTGCTTCTTGGCTGTTTCAACCCATTCTGCCCCATCTTACTGCTGGATGGACAATCTCATGCTCGCAGTGATTGCTGGCTGAAGCCCCAGGATACAAGAGAACTGCAGCCTGGTAGCGTTCAGAGCTAGAAGACTTTTAAAAACAAACCAAACCAAAACAACTAGAGACAGTCTTTTGGCTAAAAGACCTTGGTGATGCGTAGGAAAGCTCCTTAAGGGACAAACCTCTATCCTGAGGATAAAAAGAGCTGATCAAAACCCCATAAGCTTTCCAGTGGTGACAATGAACTCAGGACAAATCCAGAGACACGGTGTCCATTTCCTCTGCTCATTTGGCTTCTTTCCCCAGCGCTGAGCCTGACACAAGCTTTCCCTGCTGGCTGGAGCAGAAAGGCAACGTGGCTTCCAGACAGACACCAGAGACAGAGGTTTCCTTCTCTCTGACACTGTCCACAGGCAAATCACTCCTGCCGAGGGAGATTTAAGCCTTCACTGTTTAGGCTGTGTGTTCCTATGCATTTGGACAGCTTCTAGCACGCTGGGGAAACACCTGCCAGGACAGCACTCCTTATATAAATAAGGGAGAACAGGTATAAAGGCAGAACAATTCATCTCCTACTAAGAAGATCATGAGAGTAAAACACAGCAAAGAAGGGGAAAAAAAAAAGTCACAAATCCCAAAACAAAGTCTGACAAACTTTTTTAGTTCTACAACAAAATAAATATTTTAACTCTGATTTACCAAGAACAGTGAGACTTGGTTTCAAAAACCTATAGATATAACAACATATGCTGAATGTCACAACACTTTGATTATGTTGCTGTAAGTCATGCATGAAACAGCCCAATTTATTACAAATATTCACACAGTACAAAGTACAGTATAGTAATACATGCTGGGATATAGGCCGCTTGCCCTGACTACACTTACTCCATCAAAACCCAATGTAAACAGCCAATCTTTATTGATAGGGTTTAGTGATATTCATGTGTGTTATACGCTTTCTGAAGCTCCAGAAATTACTACCGTTGCTACTTGCTGTGCCTTTCAATAGCTGTGGACTCCCCTCTGCTAGCGGAGCACCCAGTTTATGCTTAAAAGTACATTCTCTCCCCAAAGTATACTAAAAAAAAAATCCATAGGAATTCTGGCATATATTGTGGAGCAAGAATTAATATATAAACATTGATAGTTGCTATATTTCTAACTGGATCTGTGTGACTGTCTAAAACAACTGCATCCCATTGACTAGAAAGTGGAATTTACCTGTGTTTACTTGTGTAACTACTTGACTATTCCCTGTACCCTCTCCTTCCTCCTCCAATAGTATCACTTTAGTATGTTCTTCACAAAAGAAAAAATACCATTTAGTACCCTTAAAGATCTGTCTCAAGGTATTTATAACAGAGATGAAAAAAACAGTTTCAGCCGTGCCTGTTTTACAGCAGATTTTTCCACAGCTCTTGAAATAAGACATCTTTGCATACCACCTCAACAGCAGCGTTACTGGAGCTTGTAGAAACATCATATATTGATCAACCTGAACAACAGACCCAGCAACGGATGACCTTTTTTTCATGCCTTCTGCTGTCCCCAGCAGTCTTTGTTTTCATTGCATGAAGATAGTGTAGTTAATCAAAAATTGCAACGCTGTAAAAGGGATATTTTCCATTCACTGCAAACATTCAAGAACAAGTATCTGGACTCCATTTTGGGCCTTGCTACCATCTATTTATGACACACTTACACAACCATTTCCTTAGCTAAGTTGAATCAAGAAAAGGGGCAGGTGTCTGTTGAAAGGGAAAGCTACAGAGATACATTAAATGAGTGTGGTTTTTTTTTAATCACAAGGATGTTACCACATCTTGGGTAACACCTTAACCCCATGAAATGTCAACACCCTTTTACTTTGTTAAAATGAGTTTATAGCCTGGAGCTATATGCAAAGCTGCTTTGGGAGCTCAATCTCACATGCTTACATTTGCAAACAGATTTGTAGAAATCCAGAAAATGTTCACTGGACCGTCTTTTGAAAGGTCTTTGACAGCACTTTCAACCTCCAAGCAGAGCTCACATAGACTCCCTATGACCCTGCCCACCTGATGGAAGTAAGCCTTGCCCCATGTTTTCTTTCATCGTTTCACTGCAGTTCAACAAGCACCAAATAGGTGACACATCTGATCCGAGGCTGCTATGCTCACTGTCTCTGCCAGGCTTTCGATGACCAGTGTAATGCATTTGACACATTTACAAATGATTATGGGACCTGAGAGGATGCTGTTTATGTGATGCAGTCCAAAACCACATGTATATCTTACTAAAACGTAAGAATACAAGTAAGGGAGTTCATGCTAGAACTGGTGCCATTGGCCTTACCTTTTCATAAAAACAAAACTGCACAGGCAGCGAGGTATTCAGCTTCATCAATAAGATCAAGGAAATACTTAGACATAAAGAACCACAATTAAAGAGTTCAGACCTTGGATTCCCATCTATGAAGCAGGCATTGTCTGAGAATTCAACATACTTCTTGTCAAATATATCCAATTCTGAACATGAGAGAGGGCCTATACCATTTACAATTGTATGAAAAAAGCAGTTTTGCTGGCAAATCCTCATCTCCTTCCTCCACAACACATAGAATATAGTCACTATTTTACTTACCCTCTCAATCCTTCATTTACAAACTCAAACACCCTGCAACCAATCCCAAAAGACATGCTGATTACAAGTGCTATTGTGAAATAAAGTTATAAGGTAACAAATTCCAAATCTCAGTGTATTGTTCAGTGAGCATCTGGTGAAGCACAAATTAAATATTACAGAGTTTGTTTCTGAATTACAAAAGTATATTTTTTATGATGAATGAACTGGTGTGGACCTTGAAAAGCAGTAGCCTCTGAAAGCAAGCTGAAGTATCTGTGAAAGGAAAGGCTCTTTGCTTGTTTAAAAAGATGCCAACAGTTACAGGAAGCAGTCTTCAAGAGTCAAAGTAAAGGTTTCTTCAGTCAAATATACACTGCAAGGGTCTACTTCGTACCCTTCCCTGCTACACTGCTGCAGATGGTGTTACGCGCCCATTAACATGCCCATGAAATCTGATCCATTCTGAATGGTGATGGGAGCTCCAGCACTGTTGTCCACAAATATGGAGGTGTACTGGCCAGCCTGCAGAGAGAACAAAAGGGAAAGGAAAATATCTGACGCTTCATCCCAGTGTAAAAGGAGGAAAAAAGCATTTCACTATCATGAACTAAGCACAGAAGCCTCCTGCCCTTCTCTGTGGCTCCTGGGAACAGGATCTGACCAAACATTTTTACTGCAGCACTACAGCTTTGACTTGGTGGAAATTTTCTGTAGTGAAACTGAAGGTTTATTACTTAATTAGATCCTTACTGCACTAGCATCTTTTTGGGTGCCTAGTCAAGTGGCCACCTGTGCTTCAGATTCCCTTCTACGAAATGGGAAATACAACTGCCATCTTGACAATGCAAGAGGAGATCTGAGAAAGAAAAATATTTACTGTCATTTCTTAGAGGGAAAGTTACTTGTGTGGCTTAAGATCAGAACATGCAACACAAGTCTGGCTTTTGTTCCTGCCACAGATTCTCTCTAGTCACCCCAGGTAAGGCATTTAACTTCCTTAACCTGAGAAAGGTTAATAAAAACTTCCCCACCTCCTGGTGAGAATTCAGCCTTGCCAGTAAATAACTCCACAGCCTGCCAAGCAAACTGGTACAGTGATTCCCAGTCTTCATGGGCTTACCTGCAGCTGCAGTAAGCCATGTACATAGATAGTGAAGATTTTGCTGTTACTTTCCAGACCAGCAATGACTTCCAAAGACCTAAACAGTAGCAAAAGAAAAACAAACAGGTTAAACACCTAAGGCAGTCACAACTATGTATGTGGAACGACAACAGTCTCATGACCTCCCTAGAAATAGGACCTGGTGGTTCTAGTGCCAATCTGTACTAAACAGATGGCCTGTTGACTTGATTCTAGCAGGAATCAGCTGCCTTGAAAAGAGAACAGTGGAACCTTGTCCTCACTGTAGTGATTAATGGAAGACCTACAGAGCATACAGGATTGTGAATGCAAAACTCAGCTGGAGGCAGAACTGGGAGCCACCTTCTCTCACAGAGGCCTTTCTCAAGGTCCTGTGGTCTCTATCTCCCACCCTTGAACAGGTGCTAAACATGCCCGTTAGATTTATTTACATACCAGTTATCCCAGTTTGTTGACTACCACAATAGTTTATACTCTTGTTATTCTGCAAAGAGCTAGCTATATGCATTCTGCCAATAACAGTTCATTCATTTTCAAGGTATGAAAGGCCTATTTCACCTTAACAATATATGTACTCAGCCTATGCAAGAAAGAACATACTCTGCAGCTGAAGGGTGTTTTGGGAGGACATTTGGATCAGGGGTCACATACAAGCAAAAAAAAAAAAATTGTACTTCAGTTAAAATTCAAGGGAGAGCTCCAGATCACCCCTCAAGCACCGTTCTTTTTTAACATCATGTTTTAGTAGCCATCATATTCCTTGCAGTAGCAAGATGTAGGACAGTTGCTCTCTGTGGCATCCTCTGTTTACAGAACTCTAACTCAGCTCCTTTGTACCGCATTCAGGGTGTAAGGAGGTGCCTGAGACATCAACAATCAGAACAACCCATGTAAGCTCAGTTCCAAAGCAATATGAAAGCACAGATCTCCATGCCTGGCTGGTTCTTCTGAAATCTGCCTAGCCACTGGTAGCAGAGCTAGTTGTTTTCCCAAGAAAACCAACCCCTTTCCTCCCTTTTTTTCCATGAAGTGGCGGTGACGAAACCTAGCAAGTGCAAACGTGCTGTTTCCAGCCCCCTTGCAAGGAAATAATATGCATAAAAGGTAGGGGCAATTTGGCCCAGAGAGAGCAAGCCACTTGGCACCACCTTGATTGAAGAGCTCAGTCTGTGTGTCATATCCTGCCAAAAGCCTAACTTGGGTGGGAACTTCCCACCATTAATCTCTTATACTCCAACTGTCTCCTTGCCTCTGAGTTTCCATCTCTCTCAGCCGAAAGCCCTTAGGGCTCTTTCAGCTCCCTCAAATGAAAGACTGTGTACGCTGACATCCCCAGGAAATTCCACAAGCACGGGTAGCAGCTCAGCCTGTGCCAGCAGAATGTCTGTCCAGACAGGTTCCCATCCCTCCACCCATCTTCCTTCCATGCCACAGACCAGTCATACTCTCACCCATCATATGAGAGAGAGATGCCCCCCATAGATCCAGTGCTGACTCTGCTTTACTCCCACTGCTGTCCAACTCACTCAACTCAGGACAGCCTTGCAGAACAGCAGTCATAAATTGCAACCCTGGACAACTGATGAAAACTCCGAGTCAGACATCAGACAGCTTTACCTAAACAATTAACATCTGGGTCAGTTCTGTCTAAGAAAAAAAAGTTTTTATGGTTACTGTTCTTTGGAGAATGTAGCTATAAATTCTTCAGATGGCAAGTTAATCTCAAAACATCCCAGTAAACCTGCTTGGTCTGTATGTGACAAAGAGGTTGTTCACACATCCCAGCTAGAACCAGAACAGTTTTCTAGGATCTTTCATCTAAAAAGACCTGCAATGAGGAAGGCACAGTAGTTTCCATGGCCCACAGCTTTCAGCTAAAAAGACCTGCAATAAGGAAGGCACAGTAGTTTCCATGGCCCACAGGGAAGCTTCCTATTCAGATAAGTCTTGTGCTTGCATTTACCAGAACAAGGAAGCAAGACTAAAAAGTTATGTTGAAAGCTATCAGAGACTGACATCCGTTCTTTAGTAGTATTACTGTAAGGTTGACAGCAAAGGAGAGAAAGAAACACAGACAGACTCTATCCTTGGAGACAGCCTTGGAAGGTTGTCTCCAGAAGAAAAACACTTTGTTCTCTCTCAGATGCCTTCATCAAATCAGTGGGGACCTTGTGGAATCATTAGGAAGAAAAACTCACCACTATCACTTTCATTTATTTTGCAAAATGGTTTAAATGAAATTTAGATTTTCAGTATGATTCTGAAACTGAAGACAATGTAGAGTGGAGATCAGGATGGGAGAACAGCTTTTCACTCTTGGAGATCTGCAGGATCAATTTCACTTTTAAATCCTCTTAGGTGGCTTCATAAATCTCACCCACTCATTCACTCAAATCTTTATTGAAATATCATCAGGTCAACACCAGCAACGGGCAATATTTTTCCACACCCAAAAGCATTTAGAAAAAGGTTCTGTGGAACTTGCAGTCTCTGTTCATGGGGAATCCAAGGGCTAGGGGCATGAGACCTGTTCTTGATGAAATTGCTAAGATAAGAGGAGACTATTGTAGGTGAAAAGAAAAAAGCCCCAATGCTGAAGAAAAAAAAAAAAACAATTACTTAAACCTCACTGGTCTTTGCTATGCAGAGTAAAGGACAGGAATAGGAATCTGCACTCTGCAAAGGCAATATGTGAGAGCTACTTGTAAAAAGGACAGTAACATTCTACCCTACTTATACCTGTTCCACCCCTGTGATTAAAGGCCTGGGCTGACCCAAAATCACTCATTGTCAACCCGCATTCCAGATTTCAAGATCAGGCTGAGGTCCATTCTTAGCATGATCTAAAGGAATTCTCACCACAAGTGCCAGAAACGAAATGTCCTTGAAGTTCTGCAGCTTACAGGCAAACCTTCAAGGGGCAAGAAGTTACACCCCCCTTCTGCTGACATTGTGACTGCAGCCAGTCTGTCACTGCCTCACTTTAAGTGCTGCAATCATAAAAGACTGTTATAAAACAGTCTACAAGGCTGAGGAGGTGCCAGTTGCTCCAGACAGCAAACTCCTTGACTTCCCATCAGGTCACTGGGCGCACAGCTCCCTCTTACCCTAGTTACTAATGGGTACTCAGATACCAATCAAGTCTTTTCCACAGATCAATGAAACCTAAGAGAGGTTTATTTATTACATGAAGCTTCATGTCAAATTCACCCACCAATAAAGCCTCTAAATTGAAATGCCTGTGGAGAGGTCAGTCCTATTTGCAGCACTCCGACTCATGGAGCAGGGAAGGTGAGAGCTGAAGCAGCCAGTCCAGCAGCAAATTTATGGTTTTGTGGGTTTTAAGTTGCACCTGTGGAGTCATTTTATGGATATATTTCAGCGGTGCTATTGCAAGGGTGTTGCTACAGCTGCACTGGAAGAGCTGCAGGCAGGGCAGAGCAAATCTGCACGGCCCCGTACAGGCATTTTGCCTCCCGTGACAAGGGCCGAGCTGCAAGCAGAAGCGGAGGCCACTCTGTGCAAGCAGCATTGCCCTCTGCTGGGTGCAATTCAGCCCAGCCCAGGGGCTCCCCAGCCCCTTCCTCCAAGCAAAAAGCTTGCCAAACTCCTCCTGAGCAAGCTGGCCTTCTCTGAGACACAGGGCACCTATATGCTGCAGCTGAAAGGACGACAGAAGCACAGCAAACGAGCAGCCAACAGTATGCTGATGCCATGGCCAATCGCATAAGGCACAACACCCAAGGTTGCCATGGCCTAACAAAAGCATTTCGTTAGCAGAGTTTTGCTAATGGATCCCAGCAGAGGAAAATTCAGCATGGTTATCTGAGCAAGCTCCACAAGGCAGCTGAGGGCTGTGAGAAGGTATCATATACCTGTATACAAGCCCTGCACTTTCTGCCTCAGGACCCGTTCACCTCTATTTTCCACCTATTCATTCCCCTCATCACTCCAACACTTCCATGGCAACATGAGTGGGATGCTGTGATCCATTCAGGATGCAGCTGAAATTATAAAAATTGAGCTAACAACCTCTGACACAAAATTAGAATGTTTCTCCCACTCTGTATGTTTATGATGATAGCTGAGCATTCAGCACCTTTAGCTACATTCAGTTTCAGCCAACTTCATTCACAATTCTCTCAACATATGCAGTATTTAGCTCTTTAGAGTAATTAGCACTGAAAGGTTAAAAATCAGAATTAAAAAAACACATAAAACCTAAGGGCAGGATGGAATCACTCTCTCCAGAAAAGTTCTACAAGCATTTATCATATAAAATTCACTGTCGATGAACCTGATTTCCACAGTTGGTTGAAACATAGGCCCATCTGAGAAAAATACTTGCCAAGACAGCATTGCAGTAACTCACGTGTATCGGTGGCACAGAGATTCAATGCAGATCAACACTCGGACATTATCTCTGGCTCGGAGTTGGACTTTACTCTTCAACTCACTGTGGTCTGGGGAAAGCAGTGGAAGAAGTATAAGCACTTTCACAACATAGTAGACCACCCGCTGCTGGTGTTTGGCTTAACAGAGACACCAGTAACCTTGTGACTTCTGTATTGGGTTTGTGTGGCAAGGTTCTGGTAGCAGGGGGGCTACTGGGGTGGATTCTGTGAGAAGGTGCTAGAAGCTTCCCCTATTCTGATAGAGCCAGCTCCAAGACAGACCTGCCGCTGGCCAAGGCCGAGCCCATCAGCAACGGTGGTAGCACCTCTGTAGTAACATATTTAAGAAGGGGGAAAAAAAACCTGCACAACTGCAGCCGGAGAAAGGAGTGAGAATATGTGAGAGAAACAACCCTGCAGAGAGCAAGGTCAGTGAGGAAGGAGGGGGCGAGGTGCTCCAGGCGCTGGAGCAGAGATTCCCCTGCAGCCCGTGGTGAAGACTACGGTGAGGCAGGCTGTCCCCCTGCAGCCCATGGAGGTTAATGGTGGAGCAGATATCCACCTGCAGCCCATGGAGGACCCCACGCTGGAGCAGGGGGATGCCTGAAGGAGGCTGTGACCCTGCAGAAAGCCCGTGCTGAAGCAGGGTCCTGGCAGGACCTGT